CGAAAGCAACATAGGAAAAAGGGAATTAGATTCCGTTTGTAGCGATGTTCACCTGTACGCAACGTTGGGTAACAGAAAGACAGGCGCTTAAGGCTCACCGGTGCGTGATTCGGCCTGACAAAATAGGCTCTATCGGCATTCGTACCTGCCGCTACCTCTCCGTAAGTGCGTCGAGCGGTCACTCGGTTCCGCGTGGCCTAAAAATGTTTGGCTCCGTTGTATAATTCTACGATAAATTCCTGCGTATTCCTCCCTCCTAGCACGTAGCCTTGGAGATACATACGCATGTACTTCATATGTTGCCCTGTGTCACGATCAAGGACAAGGATAGGAAGTACGATGGCTTTATGGGTCATTTTCAATTACAGGAAAGATGGGGCTTCGGCTGCCTGAGCGGAGGTGCGCGTCATCCTGAGGAGCGGCACATTCTTGGGGCGACGGTGGGCGGGGCTTCCAGGCCGCCGTCTTCGGGGTCAGACGTACGACTAAATAGCCTTTTTCTAAGAGAGACTATCGTCTTATTTTGTATATTTTCATTTCGACTTCATAAAGTATTACAATTCGGTGTGATATTATCGTATTAAGTTCGATTTTCTCTAAAGCTGTGAGATTTCTGGACTTCAAGAAAAGGTATAAGGAAGAATGAATCCAGGCAGCGTTGCCGGCGTGGTAGAACCTGTCGTGAAGGAGCGGGGTTAGTCTGGGTAGAGACACGGTGGAGGACGGGTGTGTGCAGTGCGCCCACCGTCTCTTCATGCAAACCCTATATCTGTGATTTTAGTAGGATAGTTTTATATAAGGTAAGAAATCCCCACGAGGATATCCCAAGGAATCTATCAGTTTACCAGTGTGCGTGAAGGTGAGAGAGAGAGAAAAAAAAACTCAACACGACCTAGGGACTTCAACTCGTCAGGAAAGAGTGAGCCAGGTCGAGACTGTCATGGGCGGTCTTGAGCCACGACACGCCCATTCCATTCCACGCCCGCACGGCTGAGTATTTCTACCTGAACTGTGTCCAGAAGGCGGAGAGAGGGTGGCTTCATTAACGATTGGCTTGTAGTGGTTCTGTTGACATAACTGTAATAATTTACATTGGCTGTGTACTGCTTTGTCACTTTTTTTTCAAGGGAAAGCTTGGTTGGGTGTTATGCGTCGAATTCATGCTTCAAACCCTAATAAAAGGTGTGGGATTCGGACGTAAACTTATATCTAAGCAGGCTCTCGGGATCCAAGGGAAATATACCGAAGGAGTAAAAATACGAGTAAAAAGCGAGGCATTTTAGCAACCAGAGACAATTAAACATTCACACTTGGTTGGACGTCCGGGTAGTGAGGTCAGAGAATGGGGGAGGAGGAGTGGGAGGGAGGAGGGAGAGAGGCAGGTAAGGAGAGAGGGAGCTGGGTAAGTGTGGAAGGGAGGGGAGGGGTTGACGTCATGGGTAGGGAGGGGGAAGAGGGAGCTGAGGGAAGTGCAAAAGGGAGGGGCAGAGGGGAGGGGGGGTTGACGTCATGGGCAAAACTCGACAATCTGGTAGGGGGTCTTGGGGGTGAGGTAGGGAGGGGGGGGTGTGAAGGGTAGAAGGGGGTGCATAGGAAAGGTTGTGAGAGGGGGTGGGGGGTGGGTAGGCGAGCGATGGGAGACCTCGCAGCTGTAGCGAAATGTCAAAGCTAAAACGGAGCAGTTTAAAAGGCCGTTTTGCACTGACCCTAAAACGCCCTTGGAGAGGTTTACATAGAAGGGAAATAAAGGAGAGGGGGGGGAGAGGAGGTGAAATTTCGAGTAAAGGGAGGTTGCTTTGGACAAACATATGGGCCATTTTTTGTACCAGAACAACGGGTCTTGTGTTACCCGATTTGTACAAGTCTTGGGCCGTTTATTCCCCCCCCCCCCTCTTGGTCCCTTCCTCTCTTCCAGCTTTCGTTTCCTGTTCCACTTCTACGTTTCTTTTATACGTCTTCCCATCTTCCTTTCTCTCCCCTCCCCTCTCCTGTCTCCTCTTCCTTCATTTGTATTTTTCTCCTCATCTCCTTCTTCTCTTCTTTCTCCTTTCTTCTCTTTTCCCTCATTTGTCTTCTCTTCCTTTCCCTCCTCTCTTCTCTTCCCTTCCTTTCCCTCCTCTCTTGTCTTCCCTTTCTTTCCCTCCTCTCTTCTCTTCCCTTCCCTCCTCTCTTCTCTTCTCTTCTCTTCCTTTCTCTTCCTTCCTTTTCCCTCCTCTTCCTCCTGTCTCTCCCTCTCCCTTCCATTTCTTTCTTTTACTTGTCAGGTTTTCGTCTCATTCGATTTTTTATCCTTCTGTGTCTTTTTCGTTTGTTTTTTCGTCTTATTCTGAGTCTTCTGTATGAAAGTATTTCGTTCTCTTCCTCCTTTTCTTTCTCCTCCTCTTCCTCCTTCCCCCTTTCTGTCTCCCCTTTTACCACTTCCCCCTCCTTCTCCTCTTCTTCCACTTCCTCCTCTTCTTGGTCTTCTTCTTCTTCTCCCAGCTCCTCATCTTTCTCCTCTTCCTCTCTACTTCCTCTTCTTTCTCCTTCTCCTCTCTCCCTCCTCTTCTTTCTCCTTCTCCTCTCTCCCTCCTCTTCTTTCTCCTTCCTCTTCTTCCTCCTCTTCTTTCTCCTTCCTCTTCTTCCTCCTCCTCCTCTTCCTCTTCCTTTTCTTCCGCCTCCTCTCCTTCCTCCTCTCTCACCAGTCTCTATCCCCCTCCATCCGCCACCTTTTCTCCAATATTTCTTCCACCTCCACCATTTATTCCCCCGTCCCCTCATCATCCTAATGCCCTTCTATAACACTTATTTTAAGACAAAAAATCGGGCGAAAAAAGGGTTATACAACTGCCGAGGGCCACGTTACACAAGGCAGTCATTTCTCAGATTGAAGCCATGCATTGTGAGGACTTCTCTGTCACCCGTATATATATATATACGTGTATATCTTCGAGTTAGAATATAACGCACCGGCAACGTATCGCAGTATATTTGACCTGATTACAGATTACTTGTTTTGACCTCTTGGGTTATTCCGAGCATAGCGTTGTGTAAGCTGGGTCCCCATTTTATGTAAGGTGAGCTATGGTTCATTAAAGTCAGGTTTTTGGTACGTTTTTTTTTTTTTTTTTTTTTTTTGCAATTAGGAGTAATACGTAAGTCTGAATTATTCATGTTGACTCTTATTCGATTTTTGGTTGGGTAAGGAAGTCCCGGATGTGTGTTATAGAATTGTATTTTGTCTTTTCGTTTGCTTAGATTTTGATGGGCGTTTTGTAAGTCACTGTATTGCACTTTTTTGTCTATCTATCTATCTATCTATATCTGTCTATCTATCTATCTTTCTATTCTTCTCTCTCTCTCTCTCTCCTCTCTCTCTCTCTCTCTCTCTCTCTCTCTCTCTCTCTCTCTCTCTCTCTCTCTCTCTCTCTCTCTCTCTCTCTCTCTCTCTCTCTCTCTCACACACACACAACACACACACACACACACACACACACACACACACACACACACACACACACACACACACACACACACAACACCACACACACACACACACACACACAAAGGGCGCGATTAGCATTCAACACTCTCACACACACATACATATATGCATATAAAACATGCACTCACTTACTCATTCACTCACCTTTCTCCTCTCTCTCCTTCTCTTCTTCTCTCTTCATCTTCTCTCTTCCTTCTTTCTTCATCCTTCTGTTTCCTCATCCCTTTCTCTCCCCTCTCCCTTCTCCCTTTCTCTCTCTCTCTCTCTCTCTCTCTCTCTCTCTCTCTCTCTCTCTCTCTCTCTCTCTCTCTCTCTCTCTCTCTCCTCTTCTCTCTCTCTCCTCTCTCTCTCTCTCCACTTCCACTTCTTCTCTCCCTCTCCTCTCTCCTCCTCACCCTCTCCCTCTCCCTTCCTCCTCTCCCTCTCCCTCTCCCTCTCTCTCCCTCTCCTCTCTCCTCTCCCTCTCCTCACTCTCCCTCTCATTCCTCCCTCTCCCTCTCTTCTCCTCTCACTCTCCCTCTCCTTCTCCTTCTCCATTCCTCCCTACTTCTCCCTCCCTCCCTCTCCTTCTCTCTCTTCTCCTCCCTCTCCTCTCCTTTCATCTCTATCTATCTAACCGAAACCAGCATTATTTATCTTATAGTTGTTACATGTTTATTACCCTGTACTCATCATTATCTCTCGTGTTTACTCTTGGCAATGAACCGCGAAAACTGAGCCGCAGTACGTAATAAAAGAAACGGCATTGGCTGTTTCACTCCCTCTCTGTACACGCGAGTTTGTGTCTGTCTGTGTGCGTCTGACGTTCGTAGTCCTCTCTCCCCCCCCCGTCCTTTCCCCCCCCCTCTGGTCTCCCTCCCTCCAGCATCTTCTCCGTCCCTTCACCTGTCCGCTAACCCCTCCCCCCTTCTCCCCCTCTCCACCCTACCTCTTCTTCCGGACCTTCACCTGTCGCTGTTTCATCTACCTGTCCCCTCCCCCTCCCCTCCCTCCCCCGACAACCTCTATCTAACCATGCCTTCTAAAGGGATTAGCATCGCCTATGCCTACCCGCGCCCTCCCCCCCCTCATCTTCATCCTCTCCTCTATTCATCTCCCTTTCCACCTTCCTTCTCTCTTCCTCCTCTCTTCTCCTCTTCTCTCTCCCTTCTCCTCCCATCTCTCTCTTCCCCTTCTCTCCTCCTCTTCCTCTCTCTCTCTCTCTCTCTCTCTCTCTCTCCTTCTCTTCTCTTCCTTCCCCTCTTCCCCTTACCTCCCCTCTTCTCTTCCTCTCCCCCCTCTTCTCCTCTCTCCCATTTTCCCTCCTTCCCTCTCCCCACCTCTTTTTCCTCCTCTTCTCCTCACCTCCTCCCCCTTCCACCCTGCCCTCTCTCACAATTTTTAAACCCTTTCCGCGTGAGGTCACCTTAGGTATAACCGGGTCACAAGCTGTTGACGCTCATTAGCCCACTGTCTGTTTCAGTGAGCAGATTCAAGTTTTAAAGAGTTCTTAACAATAGCTCTTGTCTCATAACTC